CATTTATCATCATTATCCAGTAGCGTGTACATAATTGTGCTATACTTTTATGCGACTGGCAATGCAGTAAGTTTATGTCAGCAGCACCACAAACACATGGTAATGCGTTGCCCTACAACGTTATGATGGCTACAGCGTCACTAGGCTATAAGAATTTTTTAGCTCCATTATAATATTACTAGAGGCCCAGTGCACAAATTCGTGCACGAGTGGGGTCTGGCCAGCCTGCCCTGATTAGGGCCAGGCGCCGGCTGGCCCTGTCCCCTGGCCGAACTCCAGGTTGAGGGGACAATTTGCTTATTAGCCTTTTATTATGTAGGATGGGACCACACCCATATAGGTGGTCCGTCAATGACTGAAATGTGGTTGTTAAGCCGAGTGTGCCTAACATAACGCTATGCACTTCCCCATTCTGCCCTTGTTACCTTCCCCACCCCCAAGCCCTACCTGTCCCAGCCTGTGTCCTTATTTCCTGCAATTTAACTGATCTTGTGTACAGTATGGTGCTCGTGGACTAAAACCCTGAAGGGAATCACTCTTCCTCAAGATCTGATCTGTATCAGGGAACCCAAGCCCTGCAGTGAAAAGTGTCCTGAAAAATGAACTGATAAGCAGGTAGAAGCAGGATGCTGTGGATACACAAATCGCACTGCATTGCAGGATGCAGTTGGGAAGTTCAAGCGAGGCTTGTTTATTAAAATGCATGAGCTTCCCATAGCTTCACTGAGGAGATAACATACTCAACGGTCACAGGTGGAGCACTGCCTAAGAAAATGGGCATTTCATGTGGATCTAAGGGAGCCTTTTGAAGTGTTTTTTTTTTTAATTCTTTTCATTAGGCAAGATGAAGCCATCCTAAGGCCACATTGCTGGCATAAAAAGGATGCACATTATATGTCAGCAACTACAGTTTAACGCATTTATTTTGTGTGAGCCCAGCAAAACACTTGAGAACAGTTTATTTTGCAGAAAGACCGAATTAACCCTTCAAGTGCTGTTCCTTGCCACAGAACCACCAATCTTGTCACACTAGTGAACCCTTGCTTCTTATATCTGCGTTCTTTAGCCTGTTCTTGTATTAAGAATAAATTAGGTGAAGGGAAGAAAATAAAGTGGGAAGGAAGGCGAGTGCTTCCCATGTAATCATTCCTGTCAGGTGGGCATCCCCACTGGGGCCTCACAGAGGGAGAATCTAGCCTGAAGCATGGGCACCCAGAACGTCTCAAACATTCGGATTTGCCCTCTCACGTTGTAACTGAATTGCATGCACCTGCTGATGTCATGTATGTCTCCAGCACAGACCACTTTGTACCCACCTGCCTCCTGGGTGTTGGTCGATGAATGGGCTGGACCCTTCAGCTTTGCTGGACACTGATGGAGCCCAACCACTTTTTCTTTCCTGTTTGGTCAGATGGTCTTCCCTCACTTCGGAAAGAAAGGATAATTGGGCTGGACCCCCAGGACTCTGAGAGGGCATTGTGGCAGAATGGAACTGCCCATAGGTGGAGCCAGGTAGCTCTGGGTTCCAACCCCATCCTTTCCAGCTGTGGGCTTTGCATCTGTTTATGTCTATAAAATGGGGATGATGTCCCTCATATGGGGTTGCTTGGCACCGGGTAGGTACTTAAGGAATGTTAGTTCCACTCCATCCCTACGCTTTCCCCCAAATTCTATTCATACTCAGGAGAAACCCGAGACATTGGAGCACGAGGAAGTATCCTTCCTGTCCCTTCCACGTGTTTCCTTTTTCACAGAAGCCAAACCTAAAACACCTGTCTTCTCCCTCGCTCTCCTCCACCTATGTCCTCACCCTCTGAGTGCAGCTAAGTCAAGCCAGATCACAGGGAGGCACAGGAACAAGCCTTCCTTTCTCAGCCCGGTGGGGACCCTAATTGGAATTACAATGCACCGTCTCCCCGGGAGGCCTGGAGCAGAGAGGAGGCCGCAGGTGTTTTTCCGGGTCTTCTTCCTGTTCCATCTCACCACATTCCTCCAACCCAGGCAGGAGAAAGGTCTGAGCCACCGCTGGCGGCCTGGGGCACACCCAGGTCAAGGTGTGATCGTGTCGTAGGCAGCAAAGGGAAGGGAAGGGACTGACTGGGCCTAAGGCTGCCTAAGCTCGGTGGAAGGTGAGAAGACTTTTAGCCTGACGACTATCTGGAATCCGTTCTGTCTCAGCAAATGAGTCACTTGCGGGTGATGGTGTAAACACAGGTGCAATATTGGCCTGCGAAAGGCCCGACAGTCCCAGCGTCCTGGAGGATCAGCTATCTTCAGTCCAACCCTTGCATTCCACATCGAGAAAAGTCAAATGCAGAGACTAAGCAAGTTGCCTGAGGCCGCGAATCAGTCCAGGGTCTGAGCGGGACCAGGAACCTGCCGTCGGGATTCCCAGCCTGGCTCCGTCTGGCGCCACCCTCCTCCCAAGGAAACGGTAATTGACGATCACGGTGCTCACGCAGCTTGGGGATCCCGTCTGGGGTCCTGACCTCTTCCTGCCACTCGCGACCTCTCGTTTTCTGGTTCCCCCCACTCCAGAGCTGGTGCTGTACCCTCCCCGTCCTCCCCACCCCCCAGAGCAGACTGGACGGAGGGGCACCTATGCATACCTCGTGGAAGGCTGCAAACGCCGACACTCGGCCCTGCGGAACCGCGCAGAGCTGTCGGTGGGGAGGGGTACACACTGGGGCTTGGCGCGGGGTCAGAAGGCGCCCAGTCTCGGGCTGGGGCGGAGCCCGGCGG